ACAAGATATTATTTTATTAAAACTAAAATATGTGTATGTATAGTATATGTGATATATAATATATAATAAGATATTAGAAAATGATCTTTGTAATAACTAGAAATGATATAATAAGTATATAATACTTATTTATTACCTATTGTAATATATTATAACTCTAAAACTTTATAAGTTATAACTAATTGTAACTAAAAAATACTTATTTATTATCATATTATAATAGTTGAGAAGCTATTTTTAGTAATAATCATGTCTGCTGCTATCAAGTTATAAAATTATTTTATTAATGATTATAAACAAGATAAAATATGATATAAATAGTTTTAATTTTATAATTTATGATTATTTTTAGTATTTAAAGTATTTAGATCTAAAATTAATTTACAGAACAAAAAGATCCTATTTATAAAAAATAAAATAAATACAAAATATAAATAAATTAATATGAATTTCTAATTTAAATTATATATGAATTAAATAGAATTAATTAACTTAATTCATGTCTCCAGAGGGCAACTAATTATAATTTAATAAGTAATAATATAATAAATAATAATATAAATAAATAATAAGAAGAATAAGTAAAAATATAAAGAATTATAAAAAAAAAATCTAATTAAAAATATTAATAATTCAAATTAATAATTGTGATATATATAGTAATTATCTATATGATAATATACTAAATTTAATATTAAATATATAATGATTATCTGTATATTTAATATGAAATTGATCTTAAAAATATAATATAAAGCTAATTTGTAATACAGATAGTACAAAATGAAGATTTAAACTAAAAAAAAAATAATTCAATCAAAATTATTATAATTTTTATTAAATTTTGAAAAATATCATTTTTTTAAAAGAAAATTAATATTTTTAAAATATTTTTAAATTTAATTTATTTAATTATAATAAATTAAATAATAATATTTTTATTAAATTTAAAATATTAAATTAAAAAATATTTCAAAAATAAATATTTAATTTTAAGAGTTAATATTTTTAAATTAAAGTTTTATTATTTAAAAATATTACTATTTAATATAATTCTAATCTTGAAAAAATAAAAAAAGCAAAAAATCTGAAAAAAATAAAATAAAAATCAGTTAAATTTTATTTATTATTAATAAAACTTTATTTTTAGATTTAAAAAATCAAGTTTTGATTAAAATTATTTTTTATAAATATATTAAATAACTTGATTTATTATTTATAATATAATTAAAAAATATAAAAATAATATTAAATATATTATAAAAAATAATAAAAATATAAAATATATATAATTATATTTTATTATTATAATATTTATAACTTATATTTAATATAATTTAATATTATTATTTTTTTTTTAAAATATAATATTATTTTATAATAAAAATAATTTTTTTATATAATTTATAAAATAAATTTTTTATTTCTTTATATAAACTGTTATAAAAAAATTGATATATTAATATAATTATTTCTAATAAAAATTATTTAAATTTTAACTAATTTTTATAATTTTTTTATATTAAATAAAAAATGATTTAAATTCATTTTTTATACTATTTTAATTATTTTATTATATTTTAATTTAATAATAAATAAAATATTATTTTATTAAAAAAGCTAAACTAAAATTTTTTTTAAAAAAAGATATTTTTAAATATTATCATTATCAATTTGTAATATTAAAACTTTAAACTACTCAAGCAAATTATTTTATATTTGATAAATATATATTTTAAATTTTATAATAATTAAATCAGTAATTTAAGATTCAAAGTTTAGTAATTAAATTATTTATTATATAAGTTTTATATTAATTTAATCAAATTTTATATAGTAAAATTTAAGAAATAATAATTGAAAAAGTTATTATTAATAAAAATTTTTTTTATAAAAGATATATAATAAAAATTTTTATATTTAAATAAATCTCAATATCTAATAACTTAATCAAATAAAACAGAATTTAAAATTTTATTTTGAAAAAATAATTTATTAATATTTATCTAATATATCAAATTTCTCACAACAGATCATACTTGAAAATCTGAAGCAGATCAATTTAATTCATAACTGCATTAACTTAATTTGAAATTATATTTAACTAAAAAAAAGAAAAATTATATAATATTAGCAAAAGTATAAGCATATCCTGGCTAACTTAAAGAATACCTGAATTTTAACTGATGATAAAATGTCAAAGTCAATAATTCATCTTAATTATTATAAATCTTTTTAAATTTTGGCAATATGACAGATTTGCTGAAATTCAAAATTATAATAAATCATTAGTATATAATCCAACATAATTCCTGAATTTCGATATTTCAACATTTCTCAATAATTTTGGCAATTCTTAGACTGACTCTAATCACAGATTAACAGATGTATTGACTGACCATTTTCAGCTGAGACATTTCATTCAACTATTTATTAGATAATTTTGTTCAAATTGTAGCAAAATTCTGGCCAGAAGCATGATCCGATTTTCAAACCAAATATTCAATAAAACTGGGTGCAGAGATTTTTGAATAATAGAAGATTCTCTTACCTTTCCACAAACAAGCACGGGAACTGCGATAAATTCCCATATCCATAAGCACATTTTCAGCATGAAATCCATCCATAAGCACGGAATCAAATTCGTACATTCCCATGTCAAGAAACCATGCCCGAAACATGGTTATGTATACAGAATTCGTTGCGTTTTTCGTGCTTGTACGTATCATGCAGTGTTATTTCGTGCCACTAATTGCAATTTCTTTGGATTTTACGTACTTGGCTTTTTTCATAGGTCATTAGTTATATAAACTCGTTTTTGGATAATAAAAAAGCAGAACAGACAACGGAAAATATATATATACAGGTGTGTTTGTGTTTTTTATATTTTATGTAGTTCATGAAAAATCAAGTAAATATTAGAAGAATCATTAATGAATTGCGCTTTAAATAAGACGGTTTGTTTATGGTAGTTTGACCATTAAATTCTTATAATTAATATTTTCAATTCTTAAAACATATAAATTAGTAATTCCAAAATAAAACAAAGGTAATATTAGACATAAGAAGATAGAGAAAAAACGATTTAAAGAACAGAGATAGATCGAAGTGATGAAAGAACAGAACGAAAAACGTGAACATCTTTGAATAAAAATTCGCAAATAAAAACAAAACGATGTAAAGAATAGAGTTAATAGAGTTAGGTACGAAGTAACAAAAGAACAGAAAGAAAAACTGAAAACATCTTTTGATAAAATTCGCAAATAAAAAGCAAAACGATTCAAAAGAATAGATCAATAGAATTAGGTACCAAAGTGATAAAAGAACAGCATGAAAAATGAAAGCATCTTCTAATAAAAATACGCAAATTTGCGGCTAGAAAATATTTGATTATACAAAATGATACGATTTGTGTTTTATAAAATATTTTCAAAAAAGATATTTGAAAATTCACATTCTGGCACTGATTGAGATAATGAAGATAACAGAGGTGTTGTTGGCAAATTACATTATTATATACTAATTATGCTGTCACTGTTTTGGGTTTCATAAATTTGTTTGGCTCAAAATTTAATGGATTCATTTAAAAGAGCTTCGAAGATATCCAATTTATTGGAGATCGAATTTTGAATATCATTATTTGACTGCATATAGGACATGGGTCTTGATAATTATAAATGGTTGCCGAAGATGATGACCCGTTGATTTTTGGGGTGAATCGAGATTTATTATGCTGGATTTATCTGGCGAAGTAAATATATATACTTTTTCTGTTCTCGAAATATAATTTTTTTACCGCTTGAATTTTTTTGGATTATATTTATAAGTGGGATACGTACGTCTATGATTCTCATAAGCTATTTTTGCCAATATTTTGCTGTATCTATAATTTTTTGTCTTGCATCAAGATTACGTAGACGTATGTTTGTTTCATAATCTTTCGAAATATGATCCAACTGTTTTGTGGTCGTGGTGGTTTATCACAAATACCCGCATTTTTTTGAGCAGGTTTTGTTAATTCTTCAATTGTGAGAACAAGGACAATCATCCAGAAGCTTTCTTTCTTTTTCTGACAAATGTTCAATATTGTTCATTTTCTTTTTTGTTTGAAGTTAAAAGCTATTGGGACGCAATATAATTTGGGCAATTTATGAATAGAATAACGATGTGTGTATAACATAATATGATCTTTTTTGCCGAATTTGGAGACAATACAGATTGCGTGTAAGGAGATTTTTCAACTTGCAGTGATTATATAGAATTTTAGTTGACGCAACAAGAGGCTTTTCAGAACATTTCGCAAGGGAAAAGTGACGCTTACACCTCACCCCTATCCTTTTTATTCTCTTAGCATTTGCTTATAGTTAGGATTAGGGTTAAAAGGTAGGTTATGATTCATAGGCAATATTTTGAGATGCAAGCTATTTTTCAAAAAGTATTTGAATTTTACTTTACAAATTGATTGGTTAAAAGGTGATTGCTGTTGGATCCGAAATTCTAATTTCAAATTTAATGTGCGCAGCACGTTTCTGGAAATAATGTGCGATATTTTTCACAGGTTTAAAGATAAATTTCATTTCTAACATGAATATGGAATTAAACGGGAAAATATTCCGCAACATATTACGAAGGTTAAATTTTTATTCAATCGGTTCCAATTGAATATTTTCCAATATTACAGCTTGACAAAGACTAAGAAAATGAGTGCCGGCAGCATAATAGTTGTTGGTCTGTTTCTCTTGGTCATTGTATATCAAGGCAGAAAATTCTTTCATAATCCGCGTCAATTTTTCTAAATAAGTTGATAGGTAGAATTTTATTGTGACCTTTAGTCTTTTGAAACTCATCTAACGATATGGTGATCAATAATTTATCGTTATCGAATATATGAATATGCATATATACTGCACGTGCGTGAATAAAAATCTAAAAACCATAAAAACGTGAGTCATTTGCTACATTATTTCAATCCTTTCGTTACTCGCTCATTACTAACAGAAATGGCAAAGAAAGACAAAAAAGTAAAAAAGAAAGCTCAGGACGATGACTGGTGAGTTGCTCTTTTCATACAAATTCTGTGCACCTCTCTAAAATAAAAGCGATTTTTGAACTTGATCATGTAATGCATATTATCAATTTAGGAAAGAAGAACCCGTCGAAAACAGTGCATCGCCTGCGAATCCTGAACATAATAGTCAAAGCGCTCCTCCCCCTTCTACTATAACCCCAAAATACGACGGTTCGCAGGAAATTCCTCCAGTCATAGAGGATGACGAGTTCGGTGGCCTCATGGCACAAATATCTAAAGTTAACAAAAAGGACAAAAAGACGAAAAAGAAAAAGAATGCTGTAACAGACGACGACTATGCTGACTCTATACTTTTACAGAATGATCAAGAAAACAATATTGTAGCTGACAACACAGATACAACTACTGTAGTTGCTACTAAGTCTGAACCTCAAATAATACAACCTGACGACTTGGCAGACGAGTTCGCGGTGGACACCAAAAAAGATAAGAAAAAGAAAAAAGGAAAGGAAAAGGATAATAATAATGTAGCTATAGAAGAAAAATCCAAAGATATCTCTGCTGCAGAAAAAGATAATAAACAATTAGATGATGATACAGGGGAAATCCACATATTAAGTAAAAAAGAAAAGGAGAAACTGAAAAAACAAAAAGAAAGGGAAAAAAAGAAGGCAGAGGCTGAAAAGAAGAAAAATTTGGCAGGATCTAAACCTCAAGAAGTCACAAAAGAAGATCAAGAGGATAAGGTGGATCATCAACTGCCTCCTACGTTGGAACAACCTCCGCCAGCTGAAGAAGACGAAGAGGATGAAGAAGACGAAAAGGGTAAAAGCAAAAAGAAAAAGAAGAAAAAAAAGCCTGTTGCTGCTGAGGAAGAAAAGAAACCTAAAAAGAAGGCTCCTAATATTGCCGCAATGAGAGCTGTCATTGAAGCTCAAAGGTAATTTAAAAATTTTTTGATTCAATTTGAAGTTAACAGGGTTGACATCTGGATCAGTCCAAAATATTTGTCCAAACATCAAAAAAATTTGTTCAAACTATATAAAATATCAAAAAATCTTATTTAATAGCATTTAACACTTGGGCCAATTTTGTCCATGATTTTTTTTGGATATTTGGATCTTGGATCCGGCCAATCCAAGTGTTCAAAAATCCAAATATTAACCCTGAAGTTAACAAACTTACAAAGATGTTAACGAATAATAAATAAACAGGGCAGCTGAAGAGGAAGCGCGTCGACAAGAGGAAGAAGAGAAAAAACGTATTGAAGGTAAATTAAAATAATTGATAAATTATATAAAATCAAGTTCATCGGTTTAAAGTTTATCGAAACTTCAATGTAAAATTATATTAGAGGAGCAAAGAAGAGCTGAAGAAGAAGAGCGACGCAAAGAAGAAATGAAACGATTAAAAAGGGAAAAAGAGAAGGTTAGCCACATTTATTTAAATAATATTTGTTTTCATTCATTCATATTAATAATCGATTGAAAATTATAGGCAAAGAGAGAACAGCTAAAAAAAGAAGGGAAGTTATTGACAAAAGCCCAAAAAACAAAACAACAACAAGCTCAATTACGCATGCAACAAATGATCGATGCCGGTCTCAAAGTAGAAGGATTAGCAGAAAAAGTGGACAACAAACCCAAAAAGATTGTTTATAATAATAAAAAGAAAAAAGGGCCTATTACTACAAAACAGGTTGAGGACGAACAAAAGAAAGAAGAGGAAAAGCATGATGTAGTTGAGGCGTCTGAGAAACACGAGGAACCGACAAAAGGTGATTATTTCGATCATCTAGTTTCTTGAGGATATTTAAATTTGCGTAAAATTATTAATTTATCAATATATTGATAAAAGCTTCAAAAGAAAGAGAAAGTTGGGAAAATGAAGAAGCTTCAGAAGAGGAGGAAATAGGAAATAAAATACCAATAAAAGCAACAGAGAGTACAGTAAAAGAGAGTTGGGAAGAATCAGAAGACGAAACGAAGGCAAATGGGTCCGAAGAAGATACGAAGACTGTGAAAACTAATGGGTCTACAGGTATGTCCTAAATCCATTTATTATAATTATTATTTCTTCAATAGTAAAAAATAATTATTTTTTTAGCATCATCAATCACTGAACTACCTGTAAAATCACCATCCGCTACAAAAACCACACCTAAAAAAGCCGAAAATCTCAATACCAAAAGGACTACTCCTACCACTACGAAACCAACACCTGTGAAACAAGAAACACAGAAGGTTGAAAATGAGAGTGAATCAGAAGAATCAGATTCAGACGAGGATAGCGGAGATGAATCGGAAGATAGTGAAGATTTGACAGAGATGCAAAAACAGGCATTGAAACGTAAACAAGAAGCTGCTGAACGACGAAAGGTTCGCTTATTTTTCGTATAATTATACTTTGTGATTTGTCAATTTTATATATAAATCTATAATTCTTTAGAAACGTCATGAAGAGGCTCTTGCTGCTCGTTCTAAAGATAATCTCCGATCCCCCATTTGCTGTATTCTAGGGCATGTCGATACAGGTTTGCCATTAATATTATAAAACAATTTCTCTGATACAAATTTATATCTTTTATTTACTTTTAATTAGGCAAAACTAAATTATTGGATAAAATCCGACAGACTAATGTGCAAGAGGGTGAAGCTGGTGGTATTACCCAACAAATTGGTGCTACATATTTTCCAATGGAAACAATAAAAATAAAAACTGCACCTTTGAATAAAGTAATTGTTTCTTTTTTTTTCCCTTATATATGCGAAGTTTTATTGTTAATTGATCGGTCTATTTAAATAATAGGACGGGACGCAAGAATACAAGCTCCCCGGTCTTTTGGTAATTGATACTCCTGGACATGAGTCCTTTACAAATTTACGTTCTCGAGGGTCATCACTTTGTAATATAGCCATTCTTGTGGTAGATATTATGGTACGTAACCCCAAAAATTTTTAATTAAAAGTTATATTCAAATTATTCGCCTTATTTCAATTTTTGTGATTATTATAAATAGCATGGTCTCGAGCCTCAAACTCTAGAATCTATAAGATTACTACGTGATCGTAAAGCACCGTTTATTGTCGCGCTTAATAAGGTTTGATTTTTTTTTACCTTTTTTATCATGCGTATATAGAAATTTTATTTTAATATTTATATATATATAGATCGATCGTATGTATGATTGGAAACCAATACCTGACAATGCTTTCCAAGATTCTCTGTCGAAGCAATCAACAAGCGTGAAACGCGAATTTGAAACTCGTGTTACAGAAACGATAACAGCTTTTGCAGAACAGGTTTATATTATCTTTTCATTTCATTTATTTAAATACTTTTTTTCTCTCAAATATTTCTTAATAACGAATATTTTTCTGTTTTAGGGTCTTAATGCATGCTTGTACTATGAGAACAAGAACTTTGCAAAATATGTTTCTCTTGTTCCGACATCTGCCATCACTGGCGAAGGTATTCCTGATATGCTTATGTTGCTAGTGAACTTGACGCAAGCAAGAATGAGTAACCAGTTGATGTATTTATCGGAACTGGAGTGTACTGTTTTGGAGGTTAAAGTGATTGAAGGTCATGGCACCACAATCGATGTTATACTATCTAATGGTGTCTTAAACGAGGGGGATCGAATTGTCTTGTGTGGTTTGAACGGACCAATTTCCACCACAATTCGTGCGTTACTCACTCCACAACCATTACGAGAACTACGTGTCAAATCTGCATATGTGCATCATAAGACAGTCAAAGCTGCTCTTGGTGTAAAAATTTCGGCTCAAGATCTTGAGAAAGCAATTGCAGGCTCTCGTCTGATGGTAGTTGGTCCTGATGATGACGAAGACGATATCAAAGATGAAGTAATGTCCGATTTAAAAAGCTTATTCAGCGCCATTGATAAATCGGGAAAAGGTGTATGCGTACAAGCATCAACTCTAGGTTCATTAGAAGCCCTGTTGGAGTTCTTGAAAACTTCAAAAATTCCGGTTTCAGGTATCAATATTGGACCTGTGCACAAAAAGGATATAATGCGTGCAGCTACAATGTTGGAGAGAGCTAAAGAGTTGGCTGTTATTTTGTGTTTTGATGTAAAAGTCGATAAAGAAGCACAAGAATTAGCTGAGGAAATGGGTATAAAGATATTCCAAGCTGATATTATATATCACTTGTTTGATCAGTTTACTGCCTATAATAAGGTTTGTTTATAACTACTTACAATTGATTAGTTATTCTTATGGAGGTTTTATTAAGATAATACTATAATAGGACATGATGGAGCAAAAACGAAAAGATCAAGCGCCTCAAGCCATTTTCCCATGTGTTCTCAAAATTATACCTGGTGCTATATTCAATAAGCGAGATCCTATTATAATAGGGGTAGATGTGGTTGATGGGGTTTTGAGAACAGGAACTCCCATTTGTGTTGTGAAAACTGATCCAACTACCAATGTATGTATATTATTTAAATTATCATTTCTGAGTTAAACAGTTTGTTAATATTATAATAACTCAATTTAGGCACGAGAAACAATTGGACTTGGCAGAGTGGTTAGCATAGAGCAAAACCATAAAGCGATCGAATCAGTAAAGAAAGGTCAGGCTGGTGGCGGGGTGGCTATAAAGATAGAATGCCCGGTTTATGAGAGTCCAAAGATGTTTGGACGACATTTTGTTGAGACTGATGAACTTTATAGCAAGGTATATATTTATATATACAATATCACGACATTTAGATTCGATTTAGTTCATTCTAATTAAATTCTGATTTTATATTGTAGATATCGCGACAATCAATCGATGTCTGTAAAGAAAGCTTCCGAAATGATTTATCAAAAGAAGAGTGGCATCTGATGGCAAAGTTGAAAAACTTGCTTGGAATCGAATAACATCACCGTCGAATTTCCTTGTCATCGAAGAGGAAATAGATGATTACTATTGTATCATAAATTTGTTGTGCTTTTTTATTTAATTAAAAAAATTTTTGTTCTTGTTTGGGTTTGATTAAAAAACTGAGCGACCAAATATGCAAAACACATGATAATGTCGATTTATGGCATTGGGCTTTTTACATAAAATGATTTTCGATTAGTTGGTTATTGAATCAGGATTAGGATTATGTGACAAATAAAAACGTAAAAAATTTTTTTGTTAGAACACAAAATAAGCATTTGTTGTATTATATCTTTCCCAGTGTAATTATCAAAAAAACTGGCATGTAATCTAATATTACAGATACTTTTTCTTATTGAGCTTAATAAGATTAAATACAAGTATATATAAAATAAAAAGTTATAAAAGATAAAGTATTAAAAATATGAGCAAATATAACAAGAACTTTATTTTATTATTCTAAAAATAAAGAAAAAATCTAAGAAATTATAGATAAGAAAAAAAATAATATATAAAAGTATTAAAGTAAATTAAAAAATAAAATAAGATGATTATATTATTTTATAATTAAAATTTAATTCTTAAAATAACAAAATAAATATAATATACAAGGAATTTTAAAAATTTTATTTTTATGTTAAGTTGATAAATTTTGAAAATTGAAAATAATTTTTTGAGTTAAGATTTTTGTATTATAATAAATTATATTATTTATAATTAAAATCTCAATACTAAAAAAAATTAAATAATATCAAACAAAAATTAATAATAATTATTATATTTTTTGGCTTTAAAATTAAAAAAATTAGTTATATAAAAAAGTTATATATTGTTGTGATATGAACTTTTAGTAGAATATTAGTTAATTTTATTATTGGTCGCTTCATATCACAATATGATTG